TTTTATACAAAAATATTATTCTATAAAATGAAAAAAAGAAGGAAAACGACAGAGAAATGCGCGATTGCGGTGCTGCAGTATAAGTGTACAAAACGGTTTTTCTGCATCAGAATATTCTCATCTGACTTAGAAGGCAAGAAATGAACAACAGCTTTAAGATTTGACAGAATGCAGCCTATAAGGTATAAAGACAGTTAGTTAAGAAGCGTTTTTGCATAAGACTGTTCCTAGTGTATTATATGGGACTTTCTTTTTACTGGACCACTTCTGCAGCGTTTCAGTAATTTAGTACCTCTTTTCGTGACTGAGGACGGCTTTAAACTGATAACTCTTCGCTGGTTTTGTACAGCATATTTGATTTAGATAAAGATAATATTTTGAATAATTTACGGACTGGAGAAAAAAAATTTTGTGCGTTGCTTGGAACTTTGTGCTTGACTGATGAGATAATTCTCTTTTGACCTATACTTCTTTTTGTTCTTATCTTTACAAACCTACCAGGAGAGAAAAATGGGGGACTATTCTGATAACTTGATTGATTTATTGGTCGCTGAGGATACTATGGATTTAGCACTTGGCAACAAAACACATCATAAAAAATGCAGTTGTAATAAACTTCATCATGCCGAATTCCTGTAAGTTCTATTTTTCATCATTCGTCAGATTTTTTCTTTCATTCCATTTCTTCTATGTCTATGTATTCTACAGAAAAGAAGAAAAAGGGAAGACCATCTTTACTACTTCTTTTTTTTCTTTAAGTGAAAAATTATTAAACATTTAGTCTTTCTGCTAAAAAATTGTTTTTTATTTTAGGTATGTCGTTTTTCTTGTTCTTACATGCACCTTTATTATCACAAATATTATGACTATTATCATTTGGCGGAGGAATTCTATTAAGCACTTCTTCAATACAATGAGGAACAGCTTTAAACCTACGGATGAACAAGGAGAGCCGATAATGGGAGGCCAAAATTAAATCTTTTACTACTAATTTCTCGAATTATAGCAAGGGAAAAATTTTGCATCATGAGTGTTCTTAAAGGAAAAGGAAGAATGACAATTTGTTTGATTGATCAATTGTTTCTTAGTAATTGCTGTACTTTTGCTGTCATTGTTATCTGTTACCTTTTTATGTTATTTTGATTTTTTTTATTATTGCAACTGTAACTTGTAATATGTAAAACAATTTTTAATACTTATCTAAGGTAATTTTTTAATTTATACAACAGTGAGCAGCAGTTGTTGCGCTTGTGTTTCGATTGGTTGCTACATGTACACATTTTGGATTTGTCAGTAGTAAATTAATTCACTTGGATTTATATCACTGTAATAGCTATTTCTTATAGCTTTTTTCAACTAATAAAACTACCGCTTCTATTTTGCTACGGATGAGGAGTATTCAGTACTGCAAAAAAAAAAAGAAATTTTTTTGTTTTTCCTTATTGCATTTAAATTTTGTGGCTAATAATACAGAAGTTACATTTTTTGCAGAAATGCGTGATACCAGATGTTACTATTAATAACAACAGTTATTAAGGCTGAAAATATTACGGATTTGAATAGGTAACAGCTGAAGTCAGACATACAACTGAGCGCTTCTGAATAGATTATCACTATTTATACAGCAAAAATTTATTTTATAATACACTGGTTAAAAGTAAACTCAGTGGCATTCAGGATACACTGCACACTTCTTTGCTCTTAATCTTTTAAATTTTTCTCAATCAACCCTTTTTGAAACTCTATCTTTTTTTCTTTATTTTACTATTTTTTGATATATTATCATAGGCTCAAATAACTAATCACCTGCATCTGCTTGCAGCTAAGAAGTTTATATTAAGCGAGCTGAATAAATTTATCTATTGTTTTCTAAGTAATAGTTACTGATCTGTGAAAAATGCTTAGTTACAGTTGTCAGTGAACACTGTATATTTGAGATCAGATAGTTTATTGTTAATGTATCAAGTACGGTTGGATTCACCCTATTACTACTTTGAACTTCTTTTTTAACACTGTTCAACACTGTAGTAAGGATGATTTATACGTCTGATAATCTACTGGAAGCATATGCTGCAAACCCGGTTACACATTTATGTGCTGATACCGCATGAATTTCTAATTTCAAAAACATTAAGTGCTGCACTTTTTGAACTGTATAATACTGTTCAACATTGATTTTACTGGACATTACCACCGATTGATTGAAATCACTACTGTTGAAAGTTTAATACAGAGTTTATAGTCTCCAGTGCCGCGCTTCGTATTTTTTATAGTTTGTGGATTTTCAAACTCGTTTAGTTTGCTTTTTTTGACTTAGCTGTACTTTTTTTTTTTTTTTT